CACACACACACACACACACACACACACACACACACGCACATGCGCACTCACACAATCAAACAAAAAAAACAAAACAAAAAACCCAGCATGATAGCAACGATTGCCACAAGTTATAGTTTGATCACAGTAGATGAAAGAGATACACGAAGGCTACTTTATTTACCTTGCTTCAGAGTCTTTTGGGTTTTGGTAGGTTTCACTGCAACGCCAGTGAAGCGACTCGGCCGACGCAAGGTCGTTTATTAACAGCACCCCCTGTTGCTACCGAAATGCAGTTTGTCAAGGACGTATGAATAATGAATATCCTTGTCAAAGCTATTTAAAACTACTCACGTTAGGAAAGAGAACGCGCGGTTTTTTATTTGTCTTATTCAATGTACTCATTCAACATCAGAATTCCTTGTCTTGAGCTATTTCTTCCCCGCTCCTCCTCTTTTCGGGTTTTAAAGACCGAAAAAGAACAAATGAACCCCCCCCCCTCAAACCTCTATGGACACGGTTGTTGAAACTCGATTATTAACATTATGTGGAATCGACTACGCACAAATCGTGTCCTTGACCGTCTGCCTCAAGTTCACCGGAACCGGCTGTGTGTGTACTGTGTGTGTGTATGCTGCGATCTGGTCGCCCTTAGTCTCGAGTTATTTTCTCTCATTTTAGATTGCATTCGCAAAGATGAACAAGCTCAGTATTAACGACGTGGATGTGAGGGACAAGAGAGTCCTGATCAGGTACAGTTCAGACGTAAACTATAATGACATGGTTCATATTTTCAGAGCGCAACTTTCCTACAAGATACAACATCGAAAGTCCTGTCAACCTTGACCTTTTCTTTCTTTACCACTCAATTTCAATGTGTTATTACTTTGCTATCACACAGTCACAGGGTAGATATTCTAGATGTAGACTTCTAGGTCTATATTCTAGAAATATATTTCGAAACAGTCTGAGTAGTAAGCACATTTGATCTTACTTTTCTGTCCACTTTCGTGAAGGGTCAACGTTGTCGAAAGTAGTTTTATTTGAACTCTTTATCTTGTCATTGAATCATTGAAATCATTGCATAAACGACATCCTCTTCCGTCTTTCTCTTCAGTTGAGACAGCCTTGCTTGAACTGAGACTGAGAGCGAGTGTAGTGAAAGTGAAGTCGGGAGTGTTAATTTAAGTTGGTATAAAATAAATCTAGATCTAGTACTGTAGCAATAGTTCACAGAGAGAGTTGATTTGAGTTGTTGGCGGGTGCTCTGGTGTGGTTTGCTCCTTCTTTCCAATTAAACATTAAAACATCTATCGTCTTTCTCTGCTCCTTTTTCTGCGTTTGTGAAGTTCCCTCTTGTTTATCACTCATCTTTATGCCGATAATGGGGACTCTAGAGGTATGGTATTTGCCTCTCATTCAATAAGTAGGGTATTGGGTGCTTCAAAAAGTTTTTCCTTTGTATGCGACTTATTATAACAAGAAGTAGACTGTACTGTAGTATTGCAGTGTTCCAGTCCATTCCCCCCCTCTCCCTTGGATTTTATATGCATTGGTGAAATTTTTTTTCCTGTTTCAGAGTCGATTTCAACGTCCCCTTGAAAAATGGACAGATCTCAAACAACCAGAGGTAAGTGGTAATAATATAATATAGTTATTAGTTTTGTGGATGTATTTATATTATATTTATATATATATATATATATATATATATATATATATATATATATATATATATATATATATATATATATATATATATATATATATATATATATATATACACACGCACATGAAATGTAATTAATAACAGAAGACTTAGTGTGGTCAGGATTTTTATATTTTTATTTTATAATTAAAAAAAAAGATTGATAGCTTTGTCTTGTAATATTTTGTCAATATTTCAATATTTATTTTGTTATGTTAAAAAAAAAGATTGGTAGCTTTGTCTTGTAAATTGTAAAATTGCAATTGTCTTGTTTATGATCAACAAGTTCACATTGGGATTGGCACAAAATAAGTGATGTATGTATGTATCATTGTTTTTGTCATGTGGACATTCGTCTTCTTCTTGTACTGTAATAAACACCAAAACTAAAATGAAACGATTTTTTGAAAATATAGGGGATCCCAGTGGCTGAGTAGTTAGTGATCTCAGGCTTGTAAATAATGCCCAATAATAGCATCAGTAATATCAGTGACATTGAGTCCGTGTGGGTAGTCACTGAGATGTGTTGTTAGGGGAAGCATGTCAATCTCTCCCCCACCCCCAACTCCAACAACTTTAAAAAAACAACAACTTTTAACAGAGACCATACAATAGTTGTACCTAATCTTCTTTACTCACTTTCTTTTGGCTTTGCGTCAGAATAATTGCTTCTCTCTATTTGCTTCCTAGAATCGCTGCAGCCCTGCCTACGATCAAGCTTGCCTTGGAGAAGGGTGCCAAGTCAGTGGTGCTCATGTCTCATCTCGGTCGGCCAGACGGGCGCCCAGATCCAGCGGCCAGTATGAAGCCGGTGGTGGCAGAGCTGGAGAACCTGTTGGGAAAGTGAGTGTTTGCGCTAGTCGCTACTTTAGAATTTCAAAGTTTTATCTGACAATTTTTCACCATTTTGAGTTACTGAGACCACGAGGCCAGAAAACAAAAATTCTTCCTGCTCTTCCAAAATGGTAAGATTATTCGGAGTCGTTATCAAGATGCTCAATGAACTGCATTCGAAAAAGCGTGACGTGTTGTGAAACTAAAAAATTTTAATGTCAAATTTCTCTAAACTAGGTACTGAGCAGATAAAGCTTTGCAAATCTGGGGTAGCCATTGTGGTTATGCGAGCTTTTGAACTTGAATGTAGATTGCGGGTCATTTGTCTTGCTGTCCCCTCCAGCTTGTGTGTGTGCGTGCACACGCTGGTGTGTGCCTGATATGGGTTTTTTTATGTACACATACATATTTGTACGGATGTTAGAGAAACCATATCTTTCAATCTGCCCAGATTTTCTTTGATAATGGTACCACTACTTTTGTAACGACAGAGAGAAAAGAGGTGCAGAAATTATCCTGGTGTCACTTTACAACAATCTTGTTTTGCAAAACAATGGTATGATCTGTGTTTTTTCTTTGAATGTTACTCCCTAGTTACTCGAAATCTTCGAAATTTATACGACCTATTTGTGTTTAGAGTGCCATAAATCGCTTCCTAAAACTAAAATGATCTGTGCTGTTAGTTGTGGTATTGCAATAATAGTAATGTGTGTGTGTGTGTGTGTGTGTTTGCAGGAAAATCACGTTTCTGGAAGACTGCGTGGGTTCCAAGGTGGAGGCCGCCTGTGCCAACCCGGAGCCCGGCAGCGTGATCCTGCTGGAGAACCTCCGCTTCCACCTGGAGGAAGAGGGCAAGGGCAAGGACGCTCAGGGCAACAAGGTCAAGAACGCTTCCTCTTCTGTTCTTTGGGAAGGGTAGGGG